TAAGTTTAGTGTTATAAAGATTGATTTCTTTGTCTGTTATCATTTTCAAACAGCTTACTGTTTGTTTATTTGGTTCGTTTTGCTGTGATTTTATAAATATTTTTTTTATACCGCAAAGATAAAGCAGTCTTTTTTTGATTAGAAGAGGAAACAAAGCTATAATGATTAATTAATTTGAAGCAAAGAAAGTTGCAGACAAAAAACGAGTGATTAAAAACGAACTTCAAAACTCCCTTCTTCCTCACTATCGGCAACATTGAATTTTGCTCCGTTTTTTCTCAAGCAGTTAACCACATCTATGTGACCATTCAGATATGCTAGGAGCACCGGGGACTGCTGAAGACAAATTGGTGAATCTTTGTAGCAGTTAAAAGAGTTTCCTAGAGACGGTCTATCACGATAGCCGTCACCATCATTTTCGAATTTAAATCACGTGTTGCAGACAAAGTTATAGTTACAAGCAGTAGTCCTTAACAAAATCACTGCAGAATTTTTAAATTTGACTAATTATTCGAAAACTTTTTGATTTTCTTCGACGTTTGTGTCTTACGCAGAAAATTTCTTTGCTTTAATGCACTATGTAATTACATGAAGAAGTATTCGCAACAGTGTAAGCCGGTAGTAATATAAAATGGATTTGTGAATAAATTTTAGAGTATTTCGTGGCACAACTTTTTTCTGGACTTTCTTTTTCTTTTAAATAAAAAATTTTTGAAAGTTGTTGGTTGAATGTTTTTGGTAAAGCAAAAGAGTAATAACTAAGATTTAGCGCTGTAAAGCCGCGTACTGTTAAACTAAATTAAAGACCGACGTTTTCAACGAAAAAAAAAGTACAAGGGAAAGTTTATATTTAAGTTGGAACTGTGAGCAGTAAGAACTCTAAATTCTCCACAATTTAATTTCATTTTTCTCCGTCTTTTGTTCTTCAAGAAACGTTTTGTATCTGTCTGCCTTCTTCAAACACAATATTTTTTCAAAAGCAAGTTGAAAATACAAAAATACAAAATAAAAGATAGCAAAACAAAGAAGAAGAAAAAACATTTAGGGGCAATACTGTGCTGCAAATAAACATAAAGTGAATAAGATTAAGAATTTGTGTGCGGTTTTGAAGAAGGTTGTTTCTGACAATCTTAAAAATTGTACCCCACGAGTATTTCTTGCATTTACGTCCGCTCCTTCTTTGATCAGTTGCCTTGCTACTTCAGTATTTCCTTTAAAGGATGCATAGTGAAGAGGCGTTTGCTAAAACAAAAAAAAAGAAAAAACTTCGGCATACCCGATTGCTTTTTATTTTTGAAACTTCGAAATACCAAACTGAATCTACTGGTTATTTGCACTGATCGCCCTGATGTTTTTTTGCAACGGCACTTTATTTGAATGAGGTTAAGAGATAAATTTCTATATTCAAGTTTTTTTATTTTCAGAACGTTTGATATGCTTTTAAGATGTTTTGTTAGAAACTACATTTTTTGTTATGTTCTATATACCTGTAAGAAACAGAAAAAGTTTTCTTGTAAATTTTGAAACGTGTTTCAAAAGCGGTTTTCATCGATTTGAATAAAATATCATAATAAACTAACAAAAGTTGTTAGTAGGAAAAAAAATATTTATTTGGGTGTTTCCAACAATCTTTTACCTCGTCATAATCTTTTGCATTGACGTTAGCTCCATTCTTGATTAAAAAACTAACGACTTTGTTGTGCCCACTGAATGAGGCGAGGTGCAGTGGTGTTTGCTAAAGAAAAAAACAGAAGTGATGAATTTTTTTAATATTATTTCAATATTATTTATTAATTTTTTTAATATTATTATTATACTGCAATTATTTTAAAGAATCTTATATTAAATCAGCTAATACCGCACAACTTTAGTATTTACTGGCTGTTCAATACGGTTTTTTACTTATTAGAGCAATAGATGAAGAACTATTATCGGTCCATAGTACACAAAGGTTTTTTGTCCTCCACTCACGCTTATTCAGTCAACTTTTTTTGCTCAAATAT